AGACAACCTCTCGTCAATATGCGTTTTTCGCATTGCATTGCTGCAAAAAACGCATAAAAAGATAAATTCATATGCAAAGTCCACTGGCTGCGGCAGTGCAATGTATGCCAAATTATTTTCAATAAAAAAAATCTGTGATCCATTACACTTCTCTTAGTCTTAATAAAGACAGACTGCTGTTGTCTCGTATCATGCAGCTCCGCTCTTTCTATATGCCAGAATCGAATTAACTGAATTTTAGTCCTATTTTATAGCCCGGAAGTCTTAAACAATGAAGTTAAACTTATAAAACCGCAGTATTCGGGCATTTTTTTGATCAATTGCACGTTCTTGAAGATAGCTGTTTCTGAGCACGCACACACACACACACACAACACACACACACACACGCACACACACGCACACACACAGGCACACACACACAGACACACACACACACAAGCCAGTCCTTTTAAATGACGAGAGACATGCATACAAATCAGTGCTTACCAGTAACTGCTCTTTCTGTTGTAAATGAAGTTTCTCGAAAGCATCTGAAAATATTGGCACTGAATATATCGAAAATAAGAAAAAACAATTAGTTTAAAAAAAATACCATGAAACTATACAGGAGCAGGACCCAAATTTCGCCGATACAACGTAAAAACCCGTCATCACCCTACAAAAGGTGGCGTACATCGTACAGTTTGCACGATCATGCATTTGTGAGAAATCGCTATAAATGTACGTCATAAGTAAAAGTGCCAATTTTTTAAGTTGACTGTATCTCGTTGTAACGTACTTTAGTGCCCGGATGGCATCAGAATTTGATTTCTAGGTATTACATGTTTCACACTTGCAAAGATTCGTACCTAATGGGATATGAAGTTTGATGCTAAAAAGTGCTACTTACTACCAACAAAGGCAAACAAATATTTTGTATTTTAATTCACCTATTTTCAAGGATGCTTCCTAATTACTTTCTTTTGCGCGCCTGGCAAAAGGTAGTAAAAATGTATGAAAAAGAAGAATCTGATGCAGCAAAATAACTCTCGGCTTGAAGACCAGGCAACAATCAATCAGCTTTTAGTTCTGTGGTTAGCCTAACCCACAAAGCACTAAGAAACTATAGGAACAGCTGAAACTGGAACTGAGATTGTGGATGAAAACAGTGAGGTCTAAAAGCTCCTCCCATGTTGCTCGTCTCCATTATTCAGTGAAGCGAAATCCAAAAATTCATTGTTGGTTGTAAGTTTCCCGCTCTGTCCAACCACGAGGATTTAATAAGTATTTGAAACAAAAGTCAAAATCTGGAAATCCATAACTCAACACACGGCTTCAAGTTTTTAAGTCCACTTGCCCGAACAAATAAATCACACCCGTAAAATCATGAGCTCACTTCAGTACGCTTGCAACCTAAGTGGAGAAGTTTTATCAAAGGAAATTTTACTTCGCGGATTTAAAAAAAAGGTGACCAGTCAAAAAGTAAAAAGC